TATTTTAAATATTATTTAACTTTAAATCTAGCATATTCAAAATAACTCATTTTAATTCACTTTAATTCATCAAGTTGGATCATTTAAATCTAGCTTGTTCAAAATAACTCATTTTAATTCACTTTAATTCATCAAGTTGGATCATTTAAATCTAGCTTGTTCAAAATAACTCATTTTAATTCACTTTAATTCATCGAGTTGGATCATTTAAATCTAGCTTGTTCAAAATAACTCATTTTAATTCACTTTAATTCATCAAGTTGGATCATATCAATTTAATTGATATCCAAAATTTCCCCCTTGGTGTTCCATTATGTACTCCGATGTAGCTACAAATACGACAATATCATAGACACTGATAAAAATACAAAATTCCAACGGAAAATCTCATTCCACGATGATTAATTATTACACCCATGTACCATAAAGCAAGAAATAATAGTGTTTTTGCCTAGGTAAAAGAAAAAATCAAATAAATAATTAATGAGAGAGAAAAATTAAGAGTCTATGATCATCACCTAAATCACTTTCATTTTTCTCTCTCATTTGGACCCATATATACCATTGCCTCTTCTTTAATACGAAAACACACTTTGATTTTGATATTCACCCACTCCAAAACCTCTCAAAATTTTCAAATCACACAAACAACGAAAAAAAAATTAATAATAATAAAAAAAATGATGCCCAATAATGAAAATCCAGGTGGATCATCTCGCCAGCCGGGCCCACAACCGAGCCGTTACGAGTCTCAGAAGCGCCGAGATTGGAACACGTTTGGTCAGTACCTCCGCAACCATCGGCCGCCCGTGGGCCCACACGAGTCGGGCTACACCCACGTGCTCGACTTCATGCGCTACCTCGACCAGTTCGGAAAGACTAAGGTCCATGTGGACGGGTGCCCGTTTTTCGGGCAGCCCGACCCACCGGGCCCATGCGTCTGCCCGCTCAGGCAGGCGTGGGGCAGCCTCGACGCCCTCGTGGGCCGTCTCCGTGCGGCGTACGAGGAGAACGGGGGGCTGCCCGAGTCGAACCCGTTTGCCGACCGGGCGGTTAGGGTTTATTTGAGGGAGGTAAGGGAGGCTCAAGCAAGGGCCCGAGGAATACCATATCAGAAGAAGAAAAAGAGGAGGCAGAAGCCCGATAGCAAGGGGGATCGGGCCGGGCCGCCCGAGGAAGAGTCGTCGTCGTTCGGGGTATAATTAATGCTGGATTTATGGTAATTTTATTGAATGATCTTTTTTTTTGGTTTGATCTGGTTTAGGGTTTGTGTGTGTGTGTGTGTTTATTTTTCTTTTGAGTGTTTGGAGAATTTGAGGATTTCTTGTGCTTTATATTTGGATAATAATAAGTGATAAAGTTTAATTATAGATTTTTATGATCAATAAATAATAGAATCGATTAATTTTTTTTTATTTTCATAGATTTAATTATGATGAGTTTGATTTTGATGTGTGTAGGTATATTGCTTAATTGTTGTCTTCTTCTTCTTCAAGATAAACCCTAATCATGGGCTCTGCAAAAACCCTAATTTTGTATTAGAATTTTACACCAAAGGATTTCTCTCTCTTTTTTTTTTTTAATTTGGGTTTTTGTTTTAATTAATTACTAATTATGTGGGATTTGAATTTCAATATTGATGAACTTGATAAAATGATAATACTAATGTTTAGTTTTTATTTTGTCCAATCTTTTGTGTTTTCTTGTCTGTGGGATTCTTCAGCACTGTGATCTCACTAATAATTCAATTATGGATCACAAAATCTATTGGACACTATAGATAAAATAGGTGTAAAATAAATAAAATATATGAATATATACATATATATATTTAAATCAATAAATCCCATCATAAAATTAAATTTATTTTATATTTCTATTAAAAACAGCTAGCTTAGACTGAGTGTGATTTTTTTTTTTTCTTTTTTTTTTATTATTATTATTATCTGTACCTCTCTTATTGGGCTCCAGCCATGAAACCCTTTGCTAATGATATCTGCCTAATTCAGAATTAATTTTATTTAAATATTATGTTATATTTCATTTTCAATATTATATTATCTATATACATATTCAAAATGGGATGTTTCAATCTTTCCACACGTGACATCAATTGTCTTTTTCTAGTCTCCACAAAGATTAAAAAACTAAAAAAAAAAAAATGATGAGATATATTGCTATGACATTTTTATAAAAAAAATTAAATCTATAATAATTATTAGTATGTAATTAATTTTTCTGGGTTAAATTTAGCTTACCAATTATTTAGGTCTTTTTCTTCTACTTTTTCTTCAAATCAAAACCTATAGAGTTCAAAGAATTCGATTCAATTAGATGCAAGTGTTTGTGGTTCCTTTTGTGGCTACAATGTTAGCAAATTGTGTAGACAAAATTGAGATTTAAATTCCACGATTCATTTTTTTTTTTCTCAATCTTAATTGATGTTATTAGTAATTAAACGAAACGAGTTGAATGTAAGTTCTGCTCGATGAGCTTAGCCTAGCTCGAATTCGGATATGTTTAATAAGCCTGAACTTGGTTCGTTTGGCTAATTAAGTAAGGATTTTTACATAATGTCCTGCATTTTTAATATAATCTCGTTAACGCTCAAGCCTAACTCTTCTATCTGTTTGCTAACTAATTTAGCTCGGCTCAATAAGTGCTCTTGGTCTGATTTTAATATTAGAAGTTCGAGTTCGGCTCAACTAATTTACTTGTCGTCTAATTACGAATTTACCGTATTCAGTTTTATCCGATTTAGTTTAAATATCTCCTTAATGATAAGATAGTTTCTATACGTTCCCAATTTGTAACAAACATAAGATTAGTCCAATCCCAACGATACAATCTTTTTTAGTTGGACTAAATTAATTCAATCTCATCCCGAAAAGCAAACAAATCCGAAGATTACAATTAAAATGGATTTTCAAAAAAAAAAAAAGAAAAAAAAAAAGAAAAAAAGGAAAAAATAAATTGTTCAGTTGTGAATAAATCGTACGTGTCTTGTTAGCTGCTTTTGTCATTTATCATGAACTGACATTATCCAATTTTAGACTCTTCCTAAAGATTCCCTCTGTAACAATTGTACCAACCCATCAATCATCATATACGTGTTGTAAACGAGCCGAGTCGAACTTCAGTTTAGAGTGCTCAAGCTCGACTCGTTAAATAAACAAGCCTGACATCGAGCTCGAGTAAATTTCGAGTTTTAACAATAACTATAAAAAATTGTGTAAAAATTCGATTTTCGAGCTTATTGGTTGAGCTGAGTCGGGCCAAACTTGGGTCGTTAACCAAACGAGCTTTAAATGGGCTCGAATTCGGCTCGTTAAGGCCTCGAACTTGGGTCCTTAATTATTTTTTATTTACTTTAATATGCTAAAAAGTAATTAACTAACATAGTAAAATTAAGGTAATTAAGATCACTAGAACTACTAAATAACTGACTATAAACATTATACCCAACTTAGTTTTTATTTACTTTATTTTATGTTTTATAACTTCTCAGTATATACAGCTTGTTACATTTTATTTCATGTTTTTGTGTAACTCTTAATATCTACAACTTTATTGTCGTGCTAATTTCGTGATTCAAATTAAATATGTTTCATATAGTGTATAGTACTCCTTATAAATTGATGTATAATTGTATATATATTATTTATCGTCATTAATTAATTTATATTGGTGTATATTTATCCCTATAATATAAATGAATATTTTACCAGTTCTTGGTTGAAATTCAATTTTCCTATGATTGTGGAATTACGCACTGGAGATATTAATGTAAAAAGATAGCATAATTTATCTCTATCTAATCTTTTGACTTTGGTGGAATTAAAATTTATTTAGACAGTTGTATTCAGTAGCTAGAATTTAATTTTATTGCTAATCAAGATTTTATGCTTTTTATTAAATAAATATAACTATTACAAAGCATAAGTTTGTGCCCTAGCTATATTCATCAGTTTCACAAAATTAATTACTCATTTTCTAATTAGATTCTGAAATAAGGTCCATTATTTTATTTTTTTTTAGTAATAAGGAGATGAAAGAAAATATCAAACAACCCTAAATGTGAAATTAATTTTTAATTTCAAGTAATGTGTTATCAATAAAAATACAAAATCTAAAAAAAAAAAATACAAAATATTTGGTCCATATATATCCCTCAACGCTCGACTTTCATTGTAGGTCTTCTGTTCGACTGCCATTATATAATCAGACATTTTCAATAAATATACATAATTTTTTAAATGTCATGTTTTAAACTACAATATAAATTAAAGTATGACATTTTATAATATAAGTATGCAATTTTGGTGTTATTGCACGAATGCCTGAACTTAATTGTTACTTGAATTAAGTGAATGAATAGTAAATAAAATTGTTACTTATGGATTTACTCGATTATCCATTTATAACCAACGAGTCATTTACCAATCGAAATTAGTAAAAAAATAAATGATTCGAAACACTCGCTCTTTTTTTCCTCTTCAATTTTAGCTTTACAATTTTTTCAATATATACAAATAGTTAAATACAGTTTTAACATTAAAAAACATATATTTAACTATATCAAATATGTAGTTATTATTATGTTAATTAAATATCTGCATGTTTTAAATCACCTAACTATCTAACCAATTATATTTTGAGACAAATTTAGTACTTATAAATACTATATATTATTATTATTATTATTATTATTAAACTTAAATAAGTCGAATACGATTCTACTAGTGAACCATAGAACATGTAGATTCATTAATTGACGACTGATTTAATTCTTCAAATTAGAGAACAATTTAGCTAGATGCCCTCAAGAACCCTAAATCAAAGATACATTGATCCTCAATAAAAAGTCAAAATAATAATAATATATAAATTGGGACTTTATAGGTTAGCCAGCATATATACATATATTATAAAATCTAAGTGATAATATTTTTATCAGCCAAAGAGTCCCGACAAGATAAGATTATAAAATGCTAGGCAATTATTATGATATTTTATCTTGTAATAGAGATTAATTATTCCAATCAAAAGTGATCAAAGACAAGTTAATTAAGAAATCTTTGCTAATAATTAATTAGATCAAGATAAAAAAAAAAAAAAATCTTTTCATTAAGGAGATTTGAAATCTTAAAGCTCTAATTAGAAAAAAAATAAAAAAAAAATGGACAGTATTAGCTAAGAATTTGTTCGGCTTTTCTATGAAGCCAACAGTTGGCTCCATAACAAAACCGAGAATTTGTTAATTCAACATTCGCACGACTGGATATGAAACATTTTCATTTTTGTTTGAAATTTTGTTCCATTGAGATTTAAGCTGAAAAAATTAAAAAATAAAAAAACACAGTTTTATCTCGATTTACTTTTTTTTTTCTCTATAATCTTACTAATACGAAGAAAAAAATAAAAAATCAAACACTATTTTATATGTTTTTTTTTATCAAAATACTAATTATTCATTCACATATTTAATTCTTATTGTGAATAGTTACCAATCAATGTTCTATTATTTATGCATCAAACTAATTTTAATCTTAATGTTTATTGATAAGTAACTCTCTTATTTTCTTAAAATAAAATGAAAAATATTATTTGCAAGAAGTTGTGCTCCGAGACATTTTATAGCGTTGGTTCGCGTTGGGCCAATGGATGGTATTGGAAAGTTCACAATTCATTTTTTCTACTTCAACCGCTACGCTGGGCTGGCCCAATAATTCAATGGGCTATTGTCCTTTTCAACCCAAAACGAAAGTACTCACTGACGCCTAGGTTGTTCATTGGTAATTATCGAGGATTCGGCCCAAACACGTGGGCATCCGGGTCAAAACACCACTCTTTGGACCTGTCCGATTTCATACCCAATTAGAGCACACCGAGTCTCGAGCTCGAGTTCTTATCGAGCCAATAAAAAAAAATTGAACTCACTAGTCAACCAATCTTAACAAATTAAATTATGTTAAAACTATGAAAATTATGTAAAAACATATATTTTCAAGCATAACTAAACGAACTCAAGGCTTAAATGTGAGACGATCTAAGACCTAATCCAACAAACAAATCTAGATTTGCATTTGCTTGGATTTGGATTTCGAAGTGTTATATGCCGACATACGAACTTCGACTCGGCTCATAAAACGAATGTTAACAAGATGAACCATATTTAAAAGTCAAAAATTACATAAATATGTATTTTCAAGTCTAACTAAATGAGTTCGAGTTAACAATTCGAATCGAGTCGAGTCGAGTCGAGTCGTAGTCTACCGAATAAATCATGATTTGCAGTTGCTTGGATTTGAATTTTGAGCTGTTATATTTCTCCCGAGTTCCATAGTCTCTCTCCTCATCATCTTCTCTCTCTCTTAAAAATGCAGCCCCAAAACCTCTGCCTCCATAGAACCCTAAATCCTAATCTCTTCCACTTTCCGGCCAACCTTAGTCACCCCCTTATCAAACACTCGCCTCATTTTCACCGTTCCTCCGCCGTCCCAAAACGGCTAATAATCCGCTCACAGCACCCTAGCCCAATTTTCCCCCACCGCCGCAATGACCACCGGCGTCCGGACGTCCGTTCATTCGCCGGCCGTAGCAAGGGCAAGCCCGGAGGTGAATCATCCGGCCGCATCGAGGGCGGCGCCGACATCCGCCGCGAGGCCAAGCGGAACGCCCGCCGGAGAAGCAGGAAACTGGCGGAGAGTCTCTTCTACCGCCTGAAGAACCCCCACAAGAACTTTCCGGACAATTTCTCCGAGG